AGGTAGTTAAATCCGTCAGAGGGGAAACACGAAAAGTGCACCTCTGGTGTCATGTGTTAACAGATGGTGACAGTAAAACCCTAGCATTGTTGACAACAGTGCTGTGAACGCCACTGCTGAGAACTAAACTACAGCCTGCTGAAAGGGTTAACGCTCTAATTTTGTCGGCAAAGCTACTGGTTTCTAGCCACAAAATTGAACAACACTCGAGATGGAGAGGCCCATCGCAAGAAGCTTTAATTGAAGCCAGCTTGATGTGTAGACACGTTTATTATGTAACAGTTAGACTGCCAGCCACCCAAATAGACCATAATAAAGCTCAGCTTTGCACAGCTGAACTCCAAAACACAATTCAAACACCAATCCTGCAACAACTGTGATGAAACCATAGTCGATGCTCTGTTTAAGAGCTTAGCTTAAATATGTGCTAACCGCACTTAGACTCATAATAAGGAAATAAGCTGTGCCTGCAAAACCTTGGGGGAAAAAAATACAAGTCTTAATGCAAGTCTGAGTTGGTGAAATTAAATGCAGCCAGTGAGATTTATTCAAAACACTGCAATTTTTCTGAAGGCACAATCAAAATCTGTTGAGCTCCCATTAATTCAAACTAAGTATATTAGCACTCCGAGCCTTGAAAACACATTTAAATTGTTGGAAAGCCTTGGGCCTTGGAAAACTTCATATTATGCTTCACTTTTGGCACGATTCGTCAATTATCTGTATTTAAATATTTTGATACGGGACATTATCTTCAAAAGAAATGGATGTATGAGAAGGCAGACTGGGCCTACACGATATTTTTGTCGGTCACGATAGTCACTGTGTCAGATTACACGATTTTGACTCCTAAAATCTTGTTGTGGCGTGGACAAGAAACATGTCAGACTACACTTTGCTTCCCGACCATTCATCGCGTGCTGTCTTTAACGACGCGTGTGATGTCATCGAGAAGGCGGAACTAGCGACTGACTTCCGAAAACGAGTGTAAACATTGCTGAAGCGCTTCCGCTATAGTTCGCCAGCATTTTTCTTTCTTTCTTCTGTCGTGGTAGTCCCTCGATGACACATCATACAGGCAGGATCCATAATCCCACCTAGCAGCACCATCATCTCTTTCGTTTTGCCATGTTTGAAACCTGTGTATGAAAGGGCTTCTGTGCTGCTATTGGTCAACGTCACCAATGTGACAGAACCAAGCGGCAACCTTCCGCTCTCTCTCGTGAAGCCAACACGGAAGTGACTTAAACTGTAATTCATCGACTGGCCGCTAGAGGCTGGCTGCAAAAGGGAGACAATCCCATAGACTCCCCATGTTAAAATACCCAACTTTACAGCAGAAAAAACATGTTTACAGCCTGGTTCAAAAAATGATTTTGGTCTATATAGCTAATTTTGCCCTTCATGACAACTGTGAGGGGGGTGAATTTTTTTATAACTCATCCGTTTAAATTATATTAAGCCTTAAAGTTCTGAATAATTAAGGGCGTGGCCACTTGAGTGACAGGTGGATTGCCGCTGCTGTCACCACCGTCGAGGTAGGTGGGTGTGGTTTCAGCAGCCAACTCCCGCCTCTTTGCCCATTTTTGATTACCCAGGAGTGACGCGCTGCCAAGATGGCGACGGCCAGCTCCGCCCACTTTGAGCTTCAGAAACGTTCTTCAGGAACCTATGGGTGATGTCACGGACACTACGTCCATGTTTTTATACAGTCTATGGACAGGACTCGTCGTGAACGATGGAAAAAAAATTAAACATGCTAGTCTTTCTGTCGTGATGTCGTGAAGCATCGCAGACACGGAATCGGTTGTCGTCCACTATGACACACTACACGAGCTGAAACGATAGAATCTTACGTCCCGACGGCCATTGTCGTTTACGAATCCCCACGACACCCTACGTCAAGCAAATCGTGGCAAAATCAGGCTAAAACCCTGTAGTCTGAACCGGGAATTAGAGGCTACAGTAAGCTGGTGAAGATGTGAATGCTCAGGTCATTTGGAGAACAATCGTTAGCTGCCTTCAGAAAGACTCGTATCCCCCCAGTATCTCTTGCTCTGTTGGATCTCAGTCTGGTTTTATTCCTCTCCCCCACATTTATCAGCAGAGCATCTTTGGATCAGTAGGAGAGTCTGAAATGGCAGTTTTCCAAACAACACTAACCACATTCTGCTGTTACATTCCAAACAAGAATCATATTTATGATGTGTGCTTTTATGCACATGGACACTTTTTTTTTTTTTTTTCCCCATTTGATTTAAGTTACTTTATTCTGTGTGTGTCAGTTCCAGCTGGAACATGAATATGAGGCTAATGATCAAACAACTTAAAAGAAAATAGCACTGCAGCAAATTGTTAATGAAGCTCTTTTGAGAGCATGAGTTGCTGAACATGATGTGGGTAGCTGAGTTTGTGTCCTGTGCGTCTGGCAGCTTGTGTTGTGTTAAGGATAAAATTAGACAGTATATACCTGCTTCCACCTGAAAGTACATCTTCATTAATTTGCATAGACCAAACAACAGATGAGTTTACATTTAAGGTTTTACATTTTATCTTATTCCATGAAGCATTTTGGGGCTTGGCACTCTCTGCTAGTTAAGGCTACAAGTAAAAAAATATTTTGAAAACCAACTAATCTGCTGATTATTGCTACAAACATTTAATATTTATTAAACATATAATATATATAAATTGTATATAAACTTTTTATATAATATTTTTATATGAATTAAATAATCATATTGCCTTATACAATTAATATTTAGCATTTTAATTTGGATTAGATATTTCATTATTTTAATATATTAATACTCATTTATTAATTGAAATACTTTTAAGTCGCCTCCCCTTGGAAGTTTGCTGAGAGTGAGAGCGACTGCTCTAGATCTCTGCAGCAAACATTCAGGCTTGTCATTTTCTGTCTGAGATGTTGATGTTAAGCTTGAATGAATGCCAACAACCGTTTATCTTGCTTGCTCATGCTTCGTTCTTGTTATTTGAGCACTTTCCACGCGTTGTTCTCCAAATTAATTTATTTGCTTTGCAAATGTAAGGCTTCATCCATTTTCTGAAGATTTTCCGTTCTTAAGGAGCATTGTGATGTTTCATAACAGTATTGCTCAGTGCTTGTTTGAAGAGGTCAACTATTTGTTGGTTGATTTGTGAATCACGACCCTTACGGACTTTTCTCGTGAATCATATCAGCGCTTCCCAATGCACTGAAGCATCCAGCTGCAGTGTACTCTGATGCCACATTACGTACACAATGAATCGTTTTTTTAATCATGATCATGATTTCTGTATCTCTTGATTTAAACATAATCATCGATTCAATATATATATATTTTTTAATCCTGAAAGTGTTTCTTTTTAATTTGGCATTTGTGTTTTCTTGCATTGGTAACAAGTCTCCACAAGATTTCATGGTTGCAGTTGCCAGATTTCCAGAGTTTAAATCCCCCAATCAGAGCTTTTTCATAAATTGGTAAATTTTCTGCCCAGTGGTTTACTTAATCTTCCCAACCTGGCAACCATCTGCTCGTGCTCTCTCTATATTAAGGAAAAAAGCAGTGATGAGGTGAAAACACGAGCAAACGTGTAAGCTGGAGTTCAGTGATCTCTATTGAGATATTCATGCGGCTGTTTGCTGCGACTAAATCTGCAAACAAACAATGCAAGCTGACGTTCTCTTCATTTGTGCTTATTTGAAAGTGCGTTAATTCTGTAAATGTAAAAAACAAGTCAATAATCGTAATTATGTTTGAGCAAAATAATGATTATTTAAGCAATATCGTGCAGCCTTAACGTACAGGTCAAATATTAATTTCGCCTTTCATCCTTTTGGCCTCTGACCTTTTCAACTGTGGCCACTGAATACCTGGCAACATTAGCATGACGTATCAATAAGTTGGTGGACTGATCCTCCTTGCCTTTTTTCTTGCTGCCTAGCAACCCAGTAAAATCGCCCTTTTGTAACACTTTTCACATGGAGGTTTGCCGCTTGTTTTGTGGTGCATTGAATGCCTGATGCGAGGCACGTGAAAGGGCTACATATGTGAGTTCAGCTTTTAATAGAGTGCTTGGACTTCCAGTGGGTGTCTGATAGCACTGTGAGGTGTGAAGGCTCATGGGAAGGCGAGTGCGACTCTAATGGGGCATGCTAATGAAGTGGCAGAGGGCCGCTGCGAGTGCTGTAGCTCTCATCCTGCGAGGCGTTAACCCTCTCTTATCTCTCCATCCAACCCTCAGCACCATCCTAACCACAGCACAGTCCTGCCCAAGAGCAAAGAGAAGGACGACGAGAAGAAAGAGTCTGACAAATCCAGGGACCGTTCCAAAGAGAGGGAGAAGAAAGAAGACCGGAAGGACCGGAAACGAGTTAGTGGCTCCGTCCCTGACGCTGTTAAAGGATTTGGGCACTTGGTGAGGTTCATAAAGCACTTTTCTCACTTACAACATGGACGTCTAAAGAGCCGTAATTGAGTTGATTTGCGCCGTTTCTTCATCTAGGACTACTCAAACAGCGACCGCGAGATGAGCCAGGAAGCCAAGCGCCGCAAAGATGAAAATGGAATGAGTGAGTCGATTACGCCTATCTTTTAAATTTGTTTTGCCCTCTGCCGAGAGCAGGAGAGGCGAGCTAGCGAAGCAGAACGTTCTCTTTCTCTGCAGAGGAGGCAATCAGAAAGCCCTCCCCGCGGTGGCGGTGCAGCTCTCGTGTGTTATCTGACTCACATGACTGCGCTCTCTCTCTCTTCACACAGGCTCCTCCAAACACAGCAAGAGCGCCAGCCCCTCCGAATCGCCCCACTCCAATGACAAGGACAACAGCAAACGCTCCAAGTCCACCAGCAAGGACAAGAGCGATCTGGCCAAACCGGAGAAGACCTCTGGAGGCAAAAAGGTTTGTGACTGTGTTCTGTTCTACCTATACAACTTACATCGCTCATATCTGGGGTTAAGATGTCAAACAAACCCCTAAAAGTGTTCAACTCGACTCATCCTTTGTGATCCCATTGAGTGACTGACCAATGTCTAGAGAGCAGAATATCATAGTCTATATTAGAAATCTGACAGCAGTGTTAATCTCATTGTTGAGAATATGATGAGGCATAAAAGATACATCATGACTATAATTAAATAAAAAGACAGTGTAGAAAGATTAGATTCAAATCATCATGGTCAATTCAAATGTGTAAAGGCCTGTTCTCACACACAACAATAACTATAGCGATTACTGGAGCTGCATGATTCATCAAAATAGATCCAAATGATGATATGGCTTAGTGGTTATGATTTAAATATGCGCTGTGTGTTTCACAATGAAGCACAGCACTGTGTTAATTTACACGTGATCGGCCGGTGTTTGCTGCTCCACATGAGCTCAGTCTGTGCATCTGCTCTGAGTTTGGGAACACAATATGCACCAGCCATCTTCATAAACCTGTAGTATGAAGGGATTACGGACAAAAGTGCAGCTTTAAGAGCTCCCTGCAGTTTTCTGTCAAAAGGTTTAATGGTTAAATGTTTGAAAATGAAGAAAATAAGACAGCCACGAATATTAGTATTGTAATTTTTACAGTTGTAATGTAAAATAAAATGAGTTATTAATATTTTTATTAGTTTTATTAATATTTGTAATTTTATGGTGAAAATAAGTGAAATATTACAGTACTTTTTTCTTTCTTTTGTTTTAATTTAGTATATATATATATATATATATATATATATATATAAACAGTATTTACTGGAACCATGTCCTGTGGTCTGATGAGACTAAGATAAACTTGTTTGGCTCAGATGGTGTCCAGCATGTGTGGCGACACCCTGGTGAGGAGTACCAAGGAAGTTGTGTCTTGCCTACAGTCAAGCATGGTGGTGGTAGCATCATGGTCTGGGGCTGCATGAGTGCTGCTGGTACTGGGGAGCTGCGGTTCATTGAGGGAAATATGGATTCCAGCATGTACTGTGACATTCTGAAGCAGAACATGGTGCAGATGTGCAGTTTTCCAACATGATAACGACCCCAAACACCGCCAAGATGACAACTGCCTTGCTGAGAAAGCTGAAGGTGTAGGTGATGGAGTGGCCAAGTATGTCTCCAGACCTGAACCCTATTGAGCACCTGTGGGGCATCCTCAAGCGGAAGGTGGAGAAGCGCCATGTGTCTAACATCCAGCAGCTCCGTGATGTCATTATGGAGGAGTGGAAGATGAACTCCATGCCCAGGAGGATTAAGGCAGTGCTAGATAACAATGGTGCTCACACAAAATATTGACACTTTGGACACAGTTTTGACATATTCACTTAGGGTGTACTCACTTTTGTTGCCAGTTATTTAGACAACAATGGCTGTATGTTGAGCTATACAAGTTGCACATTGACTAGTTTAAAGTATATCCAATTTTCATTTCTATAGTATTGTCCCTTGACAACATATAATAAAATGGTTGCTGAAATGTGAGGGGTGTACTCACTTTTGTGAGATACTGTGTGTATATATATGTATATTTTTAGCAATAACAATAATATTATATATTTTTTTATTCTCATTTTTTTTTTATAGCTATATAATTATATACTCACAAATTTGGCCAAATTGTGTAGTCCTACAAAAAAATAAATAATAAAAAAATCAAGCATTTTATGTGTCTCAAATGTTATTTGAAAAATCACAGTTGCCCAGCCCTAATTCTATTAGCATCCACAGGAACAGATAATGAGGTCTTGTTTGTTTGTAAGCGTGTGGTGCAGTTGTGGTCAGCTTCTTTGAATGCTAGCGCTGTTTAAAGCTGGTTGGATTATGATGGGCTGTCAGTGTTTTTATCGTTATATATAGCTTTGATAATTAGATTAGTTTTGACATGGTCATTCTTATAGAATTAGAAAGATTATCAAAAATTCACAGTTGTTGTCTTTGGTGTGAACAGGCCTTAACTTGCATTATGAATATGCCATTGCTGTAACAAATCTAATATCCTACACATCTCCAAGAATTGACTTTAAAAACTAAAATGCAATAACATTGTGAGTATCTCAGGTTTCACTTTATTTGAATCCTTTTTGTTTGAAACATTTAAAGTACTTTTTTTTTTTTTTTTTTTTAATGTGGCAAGCTTTTACAGTTTGATGTATTTTGTATTTTCATGAGGAGACAAACCCTGTGCCTGAAACAAAGCTTTAGAAATGAACACTGCTTGATCATCCTTACATCTGCAGAGAAGCCCTTTTTAACTACATCGAAACTCAACCAAAACACCCAATGCACCAATTAAACAGCAACTGTAGATCCAGTGTGAAATGAAACCATTTCCTGCACGTTCACCGATGCTCTGGTGTTTCCTCTGCTACAGGAGTCCAGGCACGACAAAGAGAAATCCGAAAAGAAGAGAGACAGCACTGGCGCTAAAGAAGAGAAGAAACAATATCCTTTGATGCCTTGAACGCCAACGGCAGCGTGTAGAGATGGAAAGAAGTCATGCTCTTTGTATAGAAATCAGCTTTAAACTGCACTGGAGCAGATCAACAGTGTTTTTTTCCTTAACATTCCTCACTCATAAATCATCAGAAAAGCACAGATAATCCATGCTGACACTCGAGGTGAGCGTTTGAGGACACGTTCCTTTTTATTACTCGTTTCTTAAGAGTGGAGAAATGGGTCAGTGAATGTGAAAAAGAGCGGTAACTGATTTGCAATGTGCTTTTGGATAATGCAGAAGTTTCCCTGAGTGGCACTGGCTGCAGTAGTTCCTGCAGGATTCATCAGCCCAGCTTTCTCATCCATGTCAGCATCTTAATTCACCGTCTGGAAAGAGGACTCCCTCGCACACTTAGGAATCTTGCCTGTATCCAAACTCCTGTTGTTTTGCCTAGAAATGTTGTCGTTTGTATTTTAATCTGCCATTTTTATTGTGATATTTTCAGTGCTTCACTGAAAGTTTGTTTCCTTTAATATTTAGCACAATGTGCTGCTTGCATCACAAACAGATTCAGGTTGAATTGGTGTCGCTCTCAAATGCTTACGTTTTTATGACCTCGCGTATTAGTTTCTTTTCTGTTTTCTTCTTTCTTTTCTTTTTCTTTTTTTTTTTTAAGTAAAAAAGAAAGCTCTGGTTTCCTGAATACTACCTTTTTTCCTTTTTTAAATTCACATGTGACATTTAGACTAGGTGTTTGAAGCCGTACAAATGCTCTATTTGTATATTATGTACACAGAAATAAAATGGTTCCATGTAATAAGACATTTCCTGTTACTTTCATTTCAAATGTACGCCTCCTTTGTGTGTTCAATCACGTTTTTAAAAGATTTGTATCAAGAATGGCAAGCTGGATTTCTCCGTAAATAAGTGGACTGAAAAGGAAGCAATTCATGACTTTCCAAATGACTTCATGGAGTTTTTATCTGGCAGAATCTACAGTGTATGCTTTTTCTAAATAAAATAGTTTTATTAGTGTATGGCATGTCTCTTGTTGTTTTTTATTGGACGCTTAGGGATTTTGCAAAACCAAATAACTGCATTTATTGCGCCAATTTGCTCCCGAACGCCTGACAAGGTAGCATTGGTGAAGAGAATGCATGTGTTTGATATCTTTTTGAGCTCTTCGTGACGACCTCATGAAATACTTCAAATGCACAAGATGAATTTATCAGTTCCACACACACGGCAAACATGAAATATTTGGACACGAGTCACTTCAAAAACTGAATGCCGTTGCATTAGTTACAAAATATAAAGCTGGTTGCATCTGCCACAAATGATGCTAAAGCATTTAAAACGAAATGATTTAAGTCACAAACAAGCCATTTGTTCAGTAAGCATCTCAGTAAAAAGTAGTGCAGTTTTTCACTTTGAGAAATGTGCAATTAATGATATTGAACTTTATGTAGAGCAGTTCTACGTAATCTGTGTTAATGTTACTATTAGGCTTTTCAGTACTTCTAAATGACAAGTAGAGTAGTACTAATACCTATTAATATAAGTATGTAAGCATAGCAATGTAATGTAAACAATCTACTGGTGATTTGGCAATTTATTGGAGGTATGTCAGTTCTCACTAACATTTAGCAAACTATATATATATTGTATATATAGGCTTCTGCAGTTGTTCTTTAAAGTAAATGACAATTTATATTATATATTATACTCTGTGATATTCATTTGTTCAGTAAGCATCTCAGTAAAAAGTAGTGCAGTTTTTCACTTTGAGAAATGTGCAATTAATGATATTGAACTTTATGTAGAGCAGTTCTACGTAATCTGTGTTAATGTTACTATTAGGCTTTTCAGTACTTCTAAATGACAAGTAGAGTAGTACTAATACCTATTAATATAAGTATGTAAGCATAGCAATGTAATGTAAACAATCTACTGGTGATTTGGCAATTTATTGGCGGTATGTCAGTTCTCACTAACATTTCACAAACTATATATATAGTGTATATATAGGCTTCTGCAGTTGTTCTTTAAAGTAAATGACAATTTATATTATATGTTATACTCTGTGATATTGAATGGCATGCTGAAATTTTAAGTGTGGTGTGTGTGTCTAAATAAATCTGAGAATATTTTAAAGAGATCAGGGCCCGTATTCACAAAACCTTTTATCTTACCACTAAGAGTTCTCCTAAATAGCAGTAAAAGTTTTTAGCTAAGAGTTTTCTCTTAAAACCTATTCACAAAGCTGCTGAGACTAACTTTTCCTAAGGAATAGAGAGAAGTCTTGAGCTCAGAGTAAGGGGGCGGGGTTGACCTCGTTGCTATGGATGATGTCAGCATACTTACAAAGTGTGCAAACAGTGATTGGCTGATAGTCTCTGTCAGTGATTTATTCATGGAAATATTGTAGAGTGCAATATTATGTTGCCATATTCAAATAAAGGTTTAAAAATGCAGGCGTGCATGAAAAATGCACGTGTCACTAATTAAACAAGTATATGTTCAGCTAATTGTCAGCCTCTTGTGTGCTTCTCGTAAACAATTAGTGAATATGCATATGAACAGCCTTTTAATTAACAGAGTAGAATAATCATGGCTGATAGTAAGACATGCGAATGTAAAAGAAAACCAAACTGAATGCAAGAACAGCGGTTACTTCTTGCCCAACTTGTTAATGAAAACAAGGATATAATCAAAGGAAAATTTGGAGTTGGGATAACCTACAAAAAAATAAATAAAAAAATCATGCATGGGAAAACGTGTGCCAATAAATGCAGCGTGTTTCTAAAATGTTTATGTTTCAAGGCAGATTGCTGGCAACCGCCATTTTAGCCCGGCTGAAAAAAGCAATAGAAACCATCACAGAATTTGAATGGTTTCACTGGTTATAATGGGAATTGTACTGGTTTTAATGGTAACTGTAATGTGCTTGTTGGTCTCTACTGGTAATTGGTCGACTTCTATTGTTAGCTTGTTAAAACCACTAATGGAACGTCCCAAAACACACTACAGGAAACAATTTTTTTATTATTTTAATGGTTAAAAGTTGATGGTTTGTAATGTTTGTAATGGTATTTGTAGTGGAAACCTTTAGAATTTCTGTGATGGTTTCTTTTGTTTTCTTCAGCAGGGAGGATCGGCCTAGTTTGTGGTTTGGTCTTAGTGATTTAGGAGTCCTCTTCACTACTCCTAACGTTCCACAATTTAGTTTTAGCACTAAAACGCTTTGTGAAATACTCTTAGAGCTAAAATTTAGGAGTCCTGAATTTAGGATTGACGCCCATTATTTTAAAGATTTTCTCCTAACGTTATGAGCTACTTTTAGCCTTAAGATGTTTTGTGAATATGGGCCCAGGTCAATTCTGTTCAATTTCAATATCTATATTATGTAATGCATTTTATGAATATACTCTCAATTAATTTTGAATAGCAAAAATGTTTCATTTAGGAAACAAATGCGAGGCTGTGCTGTTCTGAGTGCCTTCACTGCTAAAGGCCTTTGGATTTAATAGTGTTCAAACTCTTTTCCAAAACTATTACAGAGATCGTCATTATTAAGCTCTGTTATTTTATCTATTAAAAAATTAACAGCACAAAATGTGGCTTGATTTAACACTATCTATCTATCGATCGATCGATCGTCTGTCTGTCTGTCTACATGTCTGTCTGTCTGTCTGTCTATCTATCTATCTATCGTCTGTCTGTCTGTCTACATGTCTGTCTGTCTGTCTGTCTATCTATCTATCTATCGTCTGTCTGTCTGTCTACATGTCTGTCTGTCTGTCTGTCTATCTATCTATCTATCGTCTGTCTGTCTGTCTACATGTCTGTCTGTCTGTCTGTCTATCTATCTATCTATCTATCTATCTATCCATCTATCCATCTATCTATCTATCTATCGTCTGTCTGTCTGTCTGTCTACATGTCTGTCTATCTGTCTGTCTATCTATCTATCTATCGTCTGTCTGTCTGTCTACATGTCTGTCTATCTATCTATCTATCATCTGTCTGTCTACATGTCTATCTATCTATCATCTGTCTGTCTACATGTCTGTCTATCTATCTATCTATCATCTGTCTGTCTGTCTACATGTCTGTCTCTGTCTGTCTACATGTCTGTCTATCTATCTATCATCTGTCTGTCTACATGTCTGTCTGTCTATTTATCTACGTCTGTCTCTGTCTGTTTGTCTGTCTATCTATTTACATGTCTGTCTGTCTATCTATATGTCTGTCTATCTATCTATATCTACATGTCTGTCTCTGTCTGTCTATCTATCTACATGTCTGTCTGTCTGTCTGTCTGCCTGTCTATCTATCTATATATATATATCTATCTATCTACATGTCTGTCTCTGTCTGTCTGTCTGTCTATCTACATGTCTGTCTCTCTCTGTCTGCCTGTCTGTCTGTCTATCTGTCTGTCTGTCTGTCTATCTATCTGTCTGTTATCTATCTATCTTGTGTTCAACAAAACATTTCCTTCTTGGATGAGAAAGTCAATTCGTACATGTGGTGGTGACTCCATCTATTCATAAATTATAATAAATGTTATACCTTCTTTTGACTTTCAGAAGTAAACGTTTTGTGCAGGTACAGCATGTCATGCTTTATAAAGTGAATGGTTTCTTTGTATTCCACGTCGTTATCTCAGCACTAATAACTTGCATTCATGTTTTGAGGATCACAGATTCATTGTGTGCATAAAAAAGCCCCCACACACTCTTCCATTCATTTTTTTATTTTATTTACAAAATGTATTAAAATTCTTTGTACAAGGCCTCACTATCGGGGCTCGGGGAACGACAGCCACGCATGCACGTCTTACATCAGCCTGCCGCCCGGTCACGTCCTCTGAAGTGCTGTTTTACAGGTCAGGAACAGGTCGAAATACGAAAGCTGAAACCCACTTTCTACCGACCCTCTAGAATCTAATGGAAGTCGCAGGGCTTTACTTGACAATCACAAGTTTTCACATGCAGATAGAAAATTTGGGAATTCAGTCACTCGCTTGTGAATCCTTCACTAGAAATGTACAGATTTGTGTTCCACGTGTGTGGTCTTTTAAAAGCTTTTCGTTATAAAACTATCTGTCCATGGTCACGGGATTGGCCGTATTCTCAGTCCCGTGGAGTCACAGTTGGTTTTCCTTCCCTCCAACACAAAACTGTCACAGCAAATGTAAATGTGCTAGCTTCTCGTCAGCTCCTTTTATAAATCTATTGTAAATGTTATTAATCCTAGTCTCGTTTGCTAAATAATTCACCAAACACTAATAATGCTCATCAAATAAAACTAAATCTCAAAGCTTGATTTCATGTGCGAATTATATTCGGAAAACCGTGAGGTAATCAAATACTACATCGTAAAAGCCATGTCTTTTTGTGAATTGCGGTTTATCTACATTAATGTGATCCGATGTATAGCTTCAGTTTCTTGTACAGTATGCCGTGATAACTACAAAACCTTGGAAGTTCATCTCTGTCAAGTATGTGTGTGTGTGTGTGTGTGAATGAAATCGTGTGGTGATTTTTGGTTTTGTAAAATTTGCGTGTGAGAACACCATTATTGAAGGTCAAATGGGGTTTATAGCTTCTGAACTTCCAGCTGAATTTCTTAGAAATATAGATCAGACAAAAGAAAAGCACATGATATACTGCAACATATCCAACCGACTCACAAAGATCCTGATCTGGAATTGAAACGATCCATGATCTGATAAATTAATACACCGATTGAACGAGTGTGAAAGCAGATTTACAGTATTACAAGCGTTTGCTCGACCACTGGGTTCCACAG